CCGTTAAATGCATCATTGTCAATACACGCCACTACAATACGATTAGGCATTTGACCTACGAAAATATTGTCTTGAACAAAGCTCATGTTTCCTGTGGGAATGGAATACGCTTTGCAGAGCACTCTGTTAATGGGATATTTGGCTGTTGATTTTTCTAAGGCTTTTGCATGCCCTAGAACCACACCAGGACTGACTCTCACTTTTCTCACAAATAAAGAGGCATTTTCAAGCAGAACTTTATATTCGCCAGCACCCAGTAAACAAAATTCAGGCTTGCTGCGTATGAGTTTAATTTTCATATCCACCATATTCAATAAGAGCTTTTCTTGATGAAACATATCCAAATGTAGCCGCCCAATCATATCGACCGAGGCACTCAGTTTAAACATTTCAGCTCTTTGGATGAATCCTTCATTAGGCTGAGAATCTTTATGATCAAAAACATTCATTCGACCTGCTGTATCTTTAAAAAACATTTCTGATGAAAGCTGAGAAGTTTTTGTATCAAAACCATGGTTAAGTAATTTTTCAATCATTGCCCTGTAAGGGTAAGTATTATTACTCGAGGAAACGAGTCTTTCATTTAAACTGATATCCACTTGAGAAAACATAGAATGTAAAAATAGATTGACAGGTCCCACTTTACTTTCAGCTGTGAGAGGCTTGCCATCACTTTTTAAAATTTTTACTTTGACATACAGTTGAGTCTGTGATAAATCAAGGTATTCATCTCCGCTTCCAGAAACATTGAACTCTACAGGACTTCCTTCTGACACATTGGCTAGAGGATGAAATTCAACCCACTGACCTCTTTCGATAACAGTTTGCGTTGGAGGTAATGAAAATAGATCCAATTCAGATTTTACGCATTCTGGAGAATCTTTTAACAGAAAAGCCATTACGAGTCAAAAATGTCGCGTCGTTGCCGTTTCCTGGCTTTAGACGAAGTGAAGCATTTCGAGGTTTTGCGTTTCCTTTTAAACCTTCCGCGACCGATCATCTCGTCTGTTTTCTGAGCTGTTTTTTGGCTAAATTTTTTCCAGCTTCCTTAGATCTTGTTTTCAGAGATGCTTTAAAATTTTCGCCTGAGCTTACAGTCCGTAAAGCTTCTTTGCCAACAGTTTTAGCTCCACTAATCAAAAAAGGCATAGCGCTACGAAATAGTTTTGCAAAAAATCCTCCAATACCATATCCTTTCTGTAAAATAGTTCCTCTGTAATAAGGTAGTCCAATTTCCGGCTTGTCCTTCATAATAATCTTCAAATTTTTTCGTGCAACACGTGTAAGGCTTCAGCATTTTGATACTTCTACTTTTGAGTATAAAATCAAAATGAAATCACTTTTAAAATGGGTGCTTCTTTTATAGAATTTGTCTCAGACGAAAATGCAATACAAGGTAAACTTTTCCTCTCTCAAACGGTACTAAATCTCCGGAATGAAGTCTTATATCAATATGTATAGTCTGAAAGTGTTGTCTGATGACTGGTAAGTAAAAGGGTCTGGGATAATGAGCGTTTATGATATCACCATCATTTCCTTCTACGGTGACAATTTTTAATAATGGAGCTTGCACATCTCCTACGATTTGAGGCTCTACTAGATCACAATACACATACATGACAGGAAAGGATTGGCTACGAAAGGACTTTCTACAATTTCTCTGTAAACACCGGGTTCGAATCCTAAAAGCTCAGCTAATCCTTCATGAAGAAGGACTTTAGAATGTTCGTCTGTCTTAATTGTAACCTTTTTCGTGACAGGATGATAATTAAATTCAATCTTATTTTCATGCGATGGTATTTTTAAAGCTTTTAATAAATCTGGTACCTTTTCATAACATCCTGGAGGAACTCTTCTACCTTCCCATTTCCATCGCCCTAAGTCAAATCCAAATAAATTGTTGTCTTTTCGAACGTTATACCAGGAATGCGGGTAAATAAAGTCCACAAGGGATAATTCCCACTCACCATTTAAATCGACCGGAGAAGAAAGCTGAGTGGTAAATTGCGATATTTTATTTTCCAGGAAAAGTGCGTAGAGCTATCGCTTATCAGTGTTACAAAGAAAGATATTTTCCCTCCAAATGAAAGGTAGGTAGAATGTATGGACTTTTTATATCATTCTAACATCTTCAACCCAAGCATTGAAACTTTCAGGGTACCCTGAAATTTCACAAAATATTCAACTTTACCGCGAGATTTCCTCTTTTTCAAAACTTTTTCTACTGGATAATAACCAGAGTCAGAAACCTTTTGAAGTTCTTGCTTATAAAACGTCCCTTGTATAACTTCTCCTGCTAAATCTTTTAGCTTATAGACAACAGGAATCCTTCGAATAATTTTATGAATTGTAAAAATTTCTCTTGTCCAGTTTTGTTCGTATCCTTTTTCGAAGAGCATTTTTTTTCTCGGCTGATGCGAACCGTGTCCCCCACTTCTAAATCTGATCTGACTTGTTTCCGTGTCGTTTGTTGGCCATATAGCGTTTGCCAGATTTTCTCTTGATTCTGAAATGTAACCGATGCGGGTTCTGTCTTAATACTGCGATGCCAAGTATTATTATAACTATGTATTAATTTACTTATAACATCAATGTACTTACGCGTATTCATTTCAGTGAAGTATTTCCACATCTTAGTTTTAAGAGTGCGATTAAACCGTTCAACGACAGAGGCTTTTGTTGCATTATGTGTCGTGAAAAAGTGTACATTTTTCCGTTTTAAAAAGTCTTGAACATATTTATTGGTAAATTCTTTCCCAGCATCTGTTTGTAAAGATCTTGGTAAGCGTTCCGAAAATATTTTTTCGAAAGCAGATATGATTGAGGTAGATTTTTTGTCTTTGAGGGGAACTGCCCACGCAAATTTGGAAAAGATATCTATACAGGTTAGCAAGTATTTATACCCATCATTAACAGAGGCTAATGATTGCATATCTACTAAATCAGACTGAAATTGCTCGTTTAAGCTTCCTACGATCACCCTGTTCCTGAGGAATTTGTGTCGCACGGGTTTGTGTAATGTATATGTTTAATATTTTTTGTTACCAAACGATTTACTAGTGTGTCTTTGCAACATTAGATGGCGTTGCTGCCTGATGATTCAATTCTGGTTGCTATGGTAACGAACTTTCAACTCATAATTTATGTGATTTGTATTCTATTCTTTTTTGTTTTATTAATTGCTACTGTGCTTGGAGTGATGTGAGCTGTGTCGTCACGTGGACGGCATTTCTTCTATTTGAAAGTGTTATGTAAAATAAATTAGTGATATATTACAACATAAGAATGGATTATCCAGTCCGCACCTCAGTGTTGAGGTATCACCGGAGCCAGAGGCTAAGATAATTAACTAATCAGCCAAAACTAGGCTAAAGAAAGTAAAATAATTATTTGAAAACTGTAATTTTAAAATTTAATTCCTAGCAAATTTTGAGGTCCTCTAACTGAAAGATGTATTGACCTCGCCAACATCTTTATTTACAAGAATTAAATATTTACAGAGATTAATCATATTTTGACAAACAACATTAAATGTAATACATAATCAGTGTACATGAATAATATTGATATAAATCAATAGTTTTGTTACAATTCTAATAGAGCATGAATAAACATAGATTAAAATTATAATAGAGAATCAGGATATAAAATTTCATTTTCAAGCCACAATTATATTATTTTATACATAAATTGTATTTTCATTAGAGTATAAGAATTCCATAAATTTGGAAAGCAGTTGGCGACCTTTATCACTTAAAATTAATTTACATAAAAGGTCGAGATTCAATGGTGTGGTGTGGTGTATTTATTTATGGCAAAGCACACTAGGGCTATCTGCCTAAGGGGAGGGATGCCTTCGTGGAGGACTTTCTAAGGGAAACTGGCTCGTATACACGTTACACATGGGGAAAACCACGAAAACGCCCATGCAGCCAGCCCGTTCGCGGGATTCGAACCTCGGACCGAACTACCAGTGTTCAGCGACTTTACCGCTCGGCCGCTGGTGAGCCGGTCGAGATTCAAAGAGTGAGGAAAAAAAGTTCTTTTCGTTTTCGGTCCAGACTTGGACATTGAAGAATCATGTGCAGTGCATCCGCTGCTACTTGTCCACATGTACAGCAGCTAGGTGGCGTTTTAAGTTTAAATCTGTTGAAGTAGTAAGGGAAGGCTCCATGATTTGAAAGTAATTGATTCAAAAAGAAGTCGTTAAAGTGTCTTTTTTCGGAGATTCTAGGAAGAATCTTGAATGTTGATCTGCCCGTATCTTCTTCTTGCCATCGAAGTTGTCGTTTTCACGCGACCTTTCAAAGCACGCTGTAAAGCAGTAATACCACCGAAACTATATATATATATAAATGAATGTTAGTGTGCGCTTAGATCATAACAGCTGCTGTAATGGAAGCGATTCTATCTCAGACTTATCGAGATCATATATATATTTATAATGAATTTATACAAAAGTGAAAAGAAAAATAGAGTAAACATAACTTCTGAAAGGCTAAGTAAGGAATGATACATTTTGCAAAACAAAAACAACTTTTATTCATCATCAGTGCTTTCTAAAATTTCAAAGTTTTTCTGTCTTTAACATAAACATTTTCAATTGTTTTGTACAAATCACTAAAGTTAATACACTGGAAAAAAATCATAATCAAAAATAAGTTAAACAAGATTAGTGTTATTAATATTTTCTTCGATGAATTCCTTAGCCAATGCTTTCCAATTTAATGGTGTAAAATGCTTGATCAAAGTACTTTTTAAAATTTTCTACAGATTTCAAATTGAAGCAAGTATGCATAAACATTGATTCATATCCTTATTTGACAAGCAAAACATTTAAAAAGTTCAGAAATTGTGTTATAAAAAGACTTACTTATACATTCACATAAAGAATCCTCAAGTTCTTGAAATCCATTGTGGTCTGTCTGGATCACCTGAAAAAACCACTTTCGGTATATGAATATTCATGAATTTGTTTTTTCACAAAATAATTCCATAGTTTGAGAAATGAGACTTTCTCTCACCAGAACGCTTATTGCATCACATTCTGTATCAAGTTTCTGTAGCTGATCTTTGTTCATTAAAACACGTTGTGGAACAAACTGAAAACTGTAATCCTTTTTCTGAAATAGTCTCTGTAGGGATATGATTACTTCACCATTCACATTTTGTTTTGAAACACACAGATCGTTTTTCACAAAAAATATATTGTCGATTCAAAGGTAGCAAAAGTGTTTAAATGAGTACATAATTCTTTCCACACTAATGGGCATAACGAAACTCCATCTTTCGTCGGATACAAAAAACCTTGATCATTCGTACCATAACGACGAATATGAACACGAGTAGGACCCAAGAAGCACGAAACGATGACAAAATTTTGATCTCCTAAATGAAACATATTTGGAGGAAGGGCATCCACTGTTAACTGAGGTCCTTCAGAATTCTGATGTGTATCCACTGGCAATAGCTTGTCAGATGTCAATACCTATAAAATAATTAAAAAAAGTAAGTGCGAAACTGATACAGCAATATATAATTAAATTTGTATACCTTAAAACTTATATTAACTTTATGCTTACCTTCTGATCTTTCATGCCTTTTTTGGGTTGACCGTGATCCTCATCAAATTTTCTTTTACCAGGTAATAGCAGGCTTCGGAAAGTCAAGCTGACTCGAACACCTTTTCGTTCTTTTTGACGAGGTATTCCATGAGTCCAAAGTTCATTTGTTGGGGAGCTTAAAATTAGTAAAGAATTATTCTCAAGTTCTAGTCTATAATTTTTGAAAGTGTTGCCTGTTGAATACTATAGTACGCGTTTCAACCAAACTCAGGGAACACACAGGATGATTACTGTTAACCAGAGAACAGGGGCTCCATTACCTAGCTGACATGATGTCTGCCTTACACGGATTAAAGCCCCTGCCTCCAGAAGCTATTTATTATGACTAAGCAGAATAAGTTTACAGTGGCATACAAGGCCTTCAAGAACACAAGAACATAAGTAACATAGTCATAAAAGACCCTAAAGAAAGCATGTTACAAGTAGTACCTATAGCATTCAAACAATAAACCGAGTATACTTTCATAATTTGTACTGAAAATACGAAATACTTTCAAAACTGAGTCCAACTAATTTAAATAAAAACTATAGTGCAAACAAAATATAATACATCCATTACTGCATTATACACAATTAATATCAATTAGATTCACAATTTCAAGAAGAACCATTCAATTTAGAAAAAAAAATGCATTAAGATAAACTAAGACAATAATAAACTGCTAAATAAAATTTTTTCATATGAATTCAGAATTAAGAACCAATAACTTTGATACCTGAACAATATTATCATAAAATACACTGAACCTGAGATATTATTACAATGCAAAACATAAATTTGGTTTAAAAACAAAACCACTCCAAGTAATATAAAAACTCTACATCAGGTTTGCTGGCAACGCGACAGAAATACAGTACAAGAATAATGCCAACATAAATATATGATAAATTCCGATTCCAAAAACTACATACATTCAAAAATAAGTCAAACATTCAAAAATAAGTCAAAGAAAATTATTATAAAATACTGCCTTAAATACACATTTTAGAATAGAGAACTCAAGTAAAACCAATAAAATTCACAAAAACAGGTCAACTATTCAATTCAGAAAAGTGCAAAAAGGTATACAAAATAATTATTCTAGATTAGGTTTGCTGGCATCGCTAAGACAAATGCAATACTAGAAAAATGCCGACACAAAATTTTACAGAATTTCAAAATCAAAAACAAAATGCATTCAAGATTAAAGTAAAGAAAATTAATATAAAATAACTATCATGAATGCAAATATTTATAATAGAATGCACAATTAATGCCTATCAAATTCACCAAAGTGAATCAATTCAATTACAAAAGAACGCATTAAAATATGCAAAATAATAAAATTGTCACAAGAATTTTCTGTTAAATTTAATTAACAATTACAAAACTAATAGGCTACAAGTAACCGTTACAATTTATAAGAGCATAGATGCATTCAATGTCAGATACGTCTGTTCTACGTAAAACCATTTCTAATTTTAAATCAGTAACATAAGTAGTGGAAAACAACAAAACTGAACAATAATAAGCATCAAACACACAAAGTTAAACAATTACCATTATACAGTAAAAATCTAACTGTCGCTGAAAGTCAATTACTCACTCCCAATAGAGATGATCTGAGAGAATTATTTACAGAAAAATTTAATTCCTGACAGAAAAGCATAATTTCCTTAAATTTCTTACTCTCACTAGAGTTTTTTAATATCATTTCAGCCCATTTTGGCCTGTGTTGATCTAAAGGTTTATTCAAGTGAAGGTTTTTAGTAAATGGACAGTGAAAGATAAAGTGTTCAGGGTCTCCCAACTCCCCGCAAGAACAAAGCTCAGTCGTACGTAGTCCAAATCGAAAGAGATATGTATTAAAGGTCCATGACCAGTGAAAAATTGAGTATAAAAATTCGATGTGCTTCTTTGACTGAGTGAAACTTTTGGAAAGAAAGAGAAGACTCGTCTTCCTGTGGAGTCATTAGTCCATCTTTCCTGCCATTTCACAAGCAGTGTATTTAAAGTCTTCGCTCTTCAAGTGTGAAAAAGGCAATTTCGTTGGATTTTCAATTCCGTTGATATCATTAGCAGCCCATTTAGCTAAAGTATCTGCTTCTTCGTTGCCCAGTATGCCAACATGAGCTGGCACCCAGGTAAGAAGTGGTCTTTCAGATGAATTAAATCTTAGCAATTTCTCTTGAATAACTTGTACAATCGGATTTCTATTCGTAATGTCTAAGATAGCCTGCAGACTAGATAATGAATCACTGAAGATCTTAGTCTTGCCCGATAGATTTCTTTTAACATAAGTGAGAGCAGCGTTTATCGCTAAAAGTTCTGCCTGAAAAACAGTATTTCTGTCATCAAGCCTTCGAGTCCATGTATATACCTTTTGAGTATTGTTAAATACACAAAATGCACAACCTGTTCCACGTTCAGTTTTAGAACCATCTGTAAATAGAGCAATGTCATTGGCTACTGGAGCCGTATAGTATAAATTGACTGCAGATTTGAGTTTTAAAGAGGCAGGATGGCCAAGATTAGATGGAACCCGTAGTTCATAATCATTTACTAGGTGATGTTGGTTCCATAAATCCCCATTCAATCGTAATCGTAGGATCCGTCCTAAGAAAGAGTCTCTTTGAGCCTGCAGATCTAATGGAGGTATACCCGCCAAAATCTGCAGTGAGGCTGTCGAGGTTGTTCTATAACCTTTGGAAATAAGTAATAGCTGATGCCTCTGTATTGAATTCAGTAAGCCACTCATAGTTTTGTTCATATCAAAACCCCAAATGGAGACTCCGTACAAAAGAACTCTTTCAGTGATTGTTTTATACCACAGCCGCAAGATTTTTGGGGAAGTACCCCAATTAAGGCCCATAGTCTTTGTCATGCCATTCGTAAGAACGGCACATCTCTGTTTAAGATGTTTCACATGTGGAAACCAAGACAGCGTATTGCTGATAACAAAGCCTAAATATTTCAAGGTGTTTGCACATTTTATTGGCCTTCCATGGATTTTTATAGACGGATTTCGACGCATTTTTCTTTTCCTACCGATAAACAACATAGTAGTTTTTTCTTCGGAAATTCTTAATTTATGCATGTCTGCCCACTCTACAAACTTATTAATCGCTTGTTGAGCTCTTACTTCAATGTCCTTTACGCCTGAGATAATTAACAGAAAATCATCGGCATAAGCTTGCAAAGTTACTTGTTCAGTATTTTCAAACATACCAAAGGCCGAATTAGCGACTAAGTTCCACAGGGTTGGTCCTAAACAGGAACCCTGTGGACAGCCTCTTTGCAAATCTTTTATTAAAATTTCATTATCCAGGGTTAATTGAATTTTGCGTTGTTCCAAATAATTTCGAATTAAATTCAAAATTTCTACAGGGCAGTTTGCGCTATCCAATGCATCAATTATGTCAGGCCACCAGACCGTGTCAAATGCACCACGTATATCAATGGAGATGATTAACGTGTGCCTGTTACCATCCCTGTTGCGTTTTACTGTGTTTAGCAGATTAAAAACAGCCATTTCAGTTGAAACCCCCTTTTTAAATCCAAATTGAAAGTCGCTGATCACTTTATTTTCAGTTAGAAAATAATTTAGTCTGTTCAATATTAATTTTTCAAAGAGTTTATTTAAAGAAGAAAGAAGACTCACTGGTCTATAAGAAGACAAAATAGCAGGATCTTTACCTTTTTTGCCAAATAAAACTATTTCGGCAATTTTCATCTGCCGTGGAAATAAAGCCAATTTCCAACATGCTCGATATAAAGATAACAACAATTGGGGGAATTCTTTGAAAAGTATCTTTATGATAATATTATCAAGACCGTCTGGTCCGGGGGCCTTCTTAGACGGTAGAGAACGAATTGTATTTTCTAACTCCTCAAGCTCCAGGAGGGCAGAGTCACTTAAAGTAGAATTCCAAGTTTGATTTTTTAAATTTTTCTCGCATTACTTTATGTAAATCCATATCGTCAATCTCCAAATCCAATGGAAATAACTCATCTAAAATTTTTTTTATATTTCTCTCCCAGAGAAGTACAGTCCGGAGCTACCTCTACTGGCAGCTGAAGAGGTCGAAATACTCTGTCCACTGCAATCTTTTGAGTGATGCCATAAGGATTTTCAATAGCAGCACAAAATGCCTTCCAAGATTCACTTTTTGTCTTTATAATCAATCTTTTAAAAATTGCTAGTTCCTTCTTATAAGAAATTTTAAGTGAATGCCTTATATTGTCATCCCTTTCTTTTTGCATACGTCTCCTTAAAGCACGAACTTTGTTCCTTTTTATTGTGAGCGAGTCAGACCACCATGATGTAGAGGTTTTAATCCGTACTCTTTTCGACTTATAGGACGCTGTTGCTGCATCCATCAATGAACCAATAAAAAAGTCGTAGTTATTTTCTAAATCCTCTCGAGAAGTATTAGATTCAAATAAATTTATAAATTGAGAAATTCGTGGACGAAGTTTCTCAATAAATTTTTTCATGTCCACCATATGAAGTTTTAAATCTACGTTTCAAAATTATGTCTTCCGAGATTCCAATTTCAAACAAAATAATTTGATGATCACTAATAGACAAAACCTGTCAACACCCTCCAATTTGTAATAGAAATTGCAAAAGGAGATGAAGCTAATGTAATATCAGGCCAACCCTTGGCTCTGACAGTCAAGAATGTTGGCTCTGAATCGGAGGAATTAAGAACACACAGTCTGTTTTCGTGGATAAAATCAAGAACTTTAGCAGCCCTATGATCTTCTTGATTTCCACCCCAAAGAGGACTCGTAGCATTAAAATCACCCGCAATAAGCAAATGATCATTATGAATAATATGTGAACAAAGTTCGGTTAAATTGCTATCTAAATCGGCCGTCGGTGGAAAATAAACGTTAGTAATATTAATACTTCTATTGATAAATTGCAAGCGAATTGTCACTGCATCTAAAGTTCTCGCCACAAAAAAATGGATTTAGAGGGCCGTTATATATTATCAACGCTTTAAAAGAACCAGAAAAGAATATCTTACTACAGTTTGGTAATCCAATGATCTTGCCATCTTTGACATAAGGTTCTTGTAAGAGAGCGCAAGCTGTATTTCATTTCTAATCATAAAATCAATAAAATTTAAAGTAGCTGCCCTTGATCTCTGTAAATTTACTTGTGCACAAGTCAGACCCGAGATGCTCTGAGTAACAGGTATGTTCATTGAGCCTGTCACTTCTGAGTGTTGCTGAGGCGAAGAATCTCCTGCCTGTATAGCGGACATTGTGATGAGCTAGCCTGATGTGATGTCTCGTACTTCGTTCCTGCAGAGGCGTTGGAGTGAGTACAATTGACGCAATTTGCAATGCTTTCGGAGC